AGGTAAGTAACATTATCCAAATGCTATAGAGGAGGAATATGAATCTCAGAGAAGTAATTTGTCTAAGTGGTAGAAGAGACAGCTAGAGGTATAATCTAGGTTTGATTAGCTGCCAGGCTGTTAACTAGGAAGACATTCATTTTCCAATAATACAATATTTGACACACAGTAGATACTCAAAAAATCTGAAATGAATGGGCAAATAAATCAATGCAGGGATGTAATGCTGAGTAATGCAGGGATGATTTGCTGAGGCTGTCAGCAGGAAAAGATGGTAAAGCTACCTTCTATAGAATGGTTTTGTCACATGTTTAGAAAAACTAGGATTTTAAGCACTATAGTGTGAGCTTCTTTTTTAAGGCAAGAACTCTCTCTTTATGTCTCTCATGCCTAGACAATGCTGGAATAAAGGAATATATTGTCTGACTTTTCATCCTAATGCATAAGATTCTAAAATTGTACTTGTAGTTGTCTAGAATCGAACCAAATCACTTTAAGTTTATAGTCTTTCCTCTTACAATGTTATAGAGGACCTTTAAAAACCAGAAAAAAAAAACTAAAACCAAATCACATAGGTTTGAAATCCCAATCGGCCCATTACACATCTGTATAGAGCACACAGGGGCAGAGCCAGACTTCACACTAACAGCAAATACAATATGGAGGTTGTAAAATTCTTGAGGTGAAAAGAAGAAAATAATGCTGAGAGAAAGGCCATTTTGTGACAGCTGCTGTGGCTAAATAGATTGTGTTAATGCTTCCCAGGGTTCCATGTGAGAGTTTACATTAAATCCAGCGTGGGGGCTTGACAATCACAGCAGGGGCTTCTTCATGACTTATAATCTGAACACACTGGTTGGCACCCACCACAGCACATCTGGAGTTTGTTAGACAACCTTTATTTTTTTATTGGCTCTGGCCCCTTCCTCCAATGAAGTCTCTCCAAGTGCTGCTTTGCCATGAATGAGTCAAGGAGACAAGTTACCCAGGGGTGGGTATGTAAATTGGGACCATCTTAGAGGGTGACCCCCAAATCTGTAAATCCCTTGTTGCGTCACCTCTTTCTGACAATAGGAACTCCACATGCATGCCAAAGCTCATCAGGCAGTGGCAGTTCCACTTAGTGGAAAGCCTGGTCAACGATGACTGCTTTCCTTGTTAGGAAATGGCCTTTAGATTGAGGTACATTCCAGCAATCCAAGGACTAGAAGCTTTAAATTAAAACAATATTGATGCCATATCCTCTTTCCAAAGGCCTCTCCCTTGTCTAAAAGTTAGTACACACACTTAGAAAAATTAAAGAATCAAATATCTTTGGCAAGACTAGTTCCTTCTTGGGACGCCTGGGTGGCTCAGCGGTTGAGCGTCTGCCTTTGGCTCAGGACATGATCCTAGGTCCTGGGATCCAGTCCCACATCGGGCTCCCTGCATGGAGCCTGCATCTCCCTCTGCCGGTGTCTCTGCCTCTCTCTCTGTGTCTCTCATGAATAAATAAAATCCTTAAAAAAAAAAAAAAAGACTAGTTCCTTCTTGCTCACAGCATCTTAGATACTCTTAGAGGGCAGGAATGTGAAACTACATGGAAAGGAAACAGGAAAATACTGTTAGGAAGGATTCCCAAGAACTACATTTATTTTTCTCTTTACATAGATCACATCACTACAGAATATTCAGGGCATATAGTTAGATGGAAGGACATTAAGCTGGTCTTTTTTAGGCTTATAAATTTATAGATTAATTAATATCCTTAACTTTCACCTATTGAAAACATATAAGTCTTGAGAACCAACTAATCAAAAGCCACTGTGAATGAGATGCAGTACTCTAGTCTGCTAGATATTTTATTCTCTTTGGTGTCTGAAAGTAGAGGAATCATGAGCTACTTATATCTTATGCCTGTACATTCAGGCTTGTCTACTTAGGAGAACCTATATTGCTAAATATACAGACTCACAAAATAGTGAATGCCTTTTCTCAATAATACCCTTCTTTTTTATATAGCAGCACCACTCCCAATGAAGTATTAACTGACAGATATAAGCTATACATTTAAGGTATACAACATAATGTTTTAATATGTGTATATCATCAAATCATTATCACAATAAAGCTAATTAACACTTCTGTCACTTCACAGTTACCTTTATAAAGAACACTTTAAATCTACTCTTAGCATATTCCAAATATACAATATGATATTAACTATAGTTACCATGATGTATATTGGATCCCCAGAACTTATCATCTTGCATAACTGAAACTCTGTACTCTGGACCAACACCTTCCCATTTCTCCCACCCTCCTCGGCCATGGCAACCACTATTCAACTCATATTATCAGCTTTGATAAGCCAAATTTCAGTTTTGAACTACTGGACAGATGTCTTTAATATTAAGCACATTCTTCTTGTTTTACCTAACAGGTATCCAAATACTGGATGATCTCTTCTTATGACAAAATCTTTTAGGACACTGGACAAAATTCTTTTGCTTATAAATGAGTAATAGGGTTGATTTTTGCTGGTCATCCCTGTAACATCCCTTTAACATCCCTGATGTTAAAGATTCATCCCTGTCTCTATCCTGTAGAAAAGGGACATCTTTTGGTATTTTCCTTTTTTTATAGGTTGTTTATTCTTTAAGATTTTATTTATTTATTCATCAGAGACACACAGAGAGAGACAGAGATACAGGCAGAGGGAGAAGCAGGCTCCATGCAGGGAGCCCAACGTGGGACTCAATCCCGGGTCTCCAGGATCACACTCTGGACTGAAGGTGGCGCTAAACTGCTGAGCCACCCGGGCTGCCCCTTTTGGTACTTTCTCAGCAAAGTGGGCCACATAAATAGACATAAAAATCTATTTCTAAGTAGTTTTTAAAAAAGATTTTATTTATTTATTCATGAGACACACAGAGAGAGAGGCAGAGATACAGGCAGAGGAAGAGGGAGAAGCAGGCTCCGTGCTGGGAGCCCAATATGGGACTTGATCCTGGCACTCCAGGATCACGCCCTGGGCTGAAGGCAGATGCTCAACCACTGAGCCACCCAGGAGTCCCTCTAAGCAGTTTTAATGCTGGTCTACAAACAAATATATTTATTGTGTCAATATTGATTCTTGTTAATTTGAACATTAAATATTATACCAAAAATGCCATCAATTGGGATGCCTGGGTGGCTCAGCAGTTGAGCATCTGACTTTGATCAGAGCGTGATCCTGGAGACTTGGGATTGAGTCCCACATGGGGCTCCCTGCATGGAGCCTGTTTCTTTCTCTGCCTGTGTCTCTGCCTCTCTCTCTCTCTGTGTTTCTCATGAATAAATAAAATCTTAAAAAAAAAATGCCATCAATTGATGACTGATCTGCCAGAATAGAAAAGAAGTTTCTTCACTTGAAAAACTCCCAATCTTATTACTTCAGGCAAAAGAGCAAACCTTGGCAAACATGATGCACAGAAAATGTGACTAAGAATGCAGGAGATGATATTAGAAAAGAAGATTTAAGGGCACTGCAAATAGTACAGGAATGGCCAGTGAAGAGCACTGAAGATAAAGAAGCGGACTTAGAGTTAAAGATTCAGGTTGGGATCCCTGGGTGGCGCAGCAGTTTGGCGCCTGCCTTTGGCCCAGGGCGCGATCCTGGAGACCCGGGATCGAGTCCCACATCGGGCTCCCGGTGCATGGAGCCTGCTTCTCCCTCTGCCTGTGTCTCTGCCTCTCTCTCTCTCTCTCTGTGTGACTATCAAGAAAGAAAGAAAGAAAGAAAGAAAGAAAGAAAGAAAGAAAGAAAGAAAGAAAGAAAGAAAGAAGAAAGAAAGAAAGAAAGAAAGAAAGAAAGAAAGAAAGAAAGAAAGAAAGAAAGAAAGAAAGAAAGAAAGATAGATTCAGGTTTCTCTTTTTTATTTTATTTAAATTTTTTTATTTTTAATTTTTTAAAGATTTTATTTATTTATTCATGAGACAGAGGGAGAGAGGCAGAGACACAGGCAGAGGGAGAAGCAGGCTCCTTACAGGGAGCCAGATGTGGGACTCAATCCTAGGCTTCCAGGATCAGGCCCTGGGCTGAAGGTGGCGCTAAACCGCTGAGCCATTCGGGCTGCCCCTTCTCTTTATTTTAAAAGATTTCTTCCCTCAAGTTTTAAAATTTTAAGATATATATATATATATATATATATATATATATATATATAATAAAATTTATCATTTTAACTATTTTTAAGTGTATATTCTTTCCATTAAGCACATTTACATTGTTGTCCAACCATTAACAAAGGGAAAATGATTAGCTTTTATTTTCACAGGTCTTATATAAATATTAAACATTAAATTTGGGGGGATTAGGTTGGAAAAGAAAAGGGCAAAACTTTGCTCTTATCTTCAGAGCCTACTCATCTCTGAGTAGCTAGAAATTAAGTAAAGATATACTGAGTGCCTTCCATAGTAGGGCTTTGGTTAGATGTAAAAAATTAGCCTTTTTCATTTTAAGTGTGAAGAATTTTGCTAATTTCATCCAGCTAACTTAAAAAGAAAAAACAAAAAAACCTTTTCATAGAAGACTCATAAATAACATCTTCTAAACCAGTGCTCTTACCAAGAACACTCCAATTCCTAGATATAGTCAGAAACTTGTGAAGAAGATTAAAGTCTCTGCTTATGAAAACTAACTAGAGGGACTCTTGGGTGGCTCAGTTGGTTAAGCGACCAATTCTAGATTTGGGCTCAGATCACAATCTGGGGGCTGTGAGATGGAGCCATGCAGCAGCTTCTGCTGGGTGTGGAGCTTGCCTAGGATTCTCTCTCTCCCTCTCCCTCTGTTTTTTTCCCCCTCCTCCCTCTTCCTCTGGAGAAAAGAAAACAACAATCTAACTAGATACAAAGATCAGATGTCTAACATGAGACGCAAGACCTTAAAGTACAAACTGGCAAAGACAAAAGTAGGGACTGGTGTGAAAGCTAGTCCCGTTGACCTTCCACCATGGGCCCTCCCTAGCATTTTAGTATACCTGCTGCTTGAGTTGCTGCACCAGACGATCCTTCTCCCGCTTCAGGGCAGCCACTTCCTCTTGGGTCTTTTTCTTAGAGGATGAAAGCTCCAGAAGAGCTATGTTGGCATCTTTTTCACTAATGGCAGCCAGAAGAGCTTCTTGCCTACAAAATAAAGAAAATTCCAGGACTTTCATTTATCCTCAAAACAATCCTTTGAAGTTATTATTATCACCCCCATTTTACGGGTGATGAAACCGAGGCTGAGAGAGTTTATATACCTTGCTCAAATTCACACTTGAAGTAAATAGTGCAGCTAGGAATCCCACACAGGTTTCTCTGACTCTAAATGCTTTTATCAAGTGTTATATGGACATCTTAATAAAGAGTTCCTATAGTTAAATGAAAAAGCAAACAAAATTAATGCCTTTTAAAAACCAAGAATAATACTAATGATGGGGGAACACAGGGCTAGCTGAGGACAAGGCACGAGCTTGGGGCAACACACTGACAAGTCCCTGAAACAGGCAGAGGGACATTCCTCTACGGACTCAACTGCCTCAATATTAATACTTTGCTAAGGGCAAAAGACAATCTTAGCCCAACCCTCAGGAGCCTTTAAGTTTACTTTAAAATATAAAAATTCCTTAAAAAGTTTCCTTTATCTCTAAACCCCCAAGATATGTGTTGGCAATCATTCCCCAAGCACATGGCCCACCAACATACATCTGAAGGGTCTTATGACTCAGGTTTTATTAGACGGTAATAAGTGACCTTTTCCCAAAGATAGCCAGCCCCCTCAAGGTCCTGGAAACCTTGCTTCCAAAATTCCTTAGAGAGTATGCTATCCTTAAACCCCTCCCAACTCCCAGGTATATCAGCCACCCCTCACAGGCCTAGGGGTGGGGGTGTGGGGCTGGGAGACAGCTGGTCTTCCTGCCCACAGGTCCTGTCCCTCTGCTTTAACAAAACCATTTGCACCAAAGATGTCTCAAGAATTCTTTCTTGGTCGTCGGCTCCAGACCTCACCTATGATCCCAAAACTTCATCACTTACACTTACACATTCTACCCATTTAATTCATTCTTTTGATAAGCATTCTGTACCATCCAGGCAAATTGAAGCATTACTGAAACTGAAAACATTCTTATGAACAGAGTGTACACTGTAAACATTAGGAAATAGGATTTAGAAAATCATCCATCTGTTCTTGGGGCATTCTAAACATCTACAGTTCTCTTTCTCTCATTGATGCAAGTAAGTTTCCAGTTGTGGCTTTATTTGGCAATGATCTGTGCACTTAGAAACAATAACTTCAATATTACAGATTCCTTGTAGTTTAGCTAACTACTTTTTGGTTCACATCCAGAAGGAAAAGAAGGTGGGATTTAGGAAAGAGGTGAACACAAGAAATTTACAAAATAATCTGAAGGAAGTTGGTGAACAATTAGTCTCCTCAGCAAAAATGCATTCCTCAATAGCTCATCTATTATTTAAGACATCTGTAAGAATGCAGGTTTGATTTATAGGAACTAACGATTCAAGTGGCCTGAGCTTTTGACCTGAGGAAATACTGAATCTGAGAATGAACTGCCCAAGTTTAACCTTGCTTCTGTCTTTTGTTAAGATAATTATGCTTCAATAGCAGTCATCTGGAAGAGTTTTAGTTTAGCCACAAACTGGAAGACTATCTTTTGCATATCCTGACAAGGATTTTCTGTTTTCTGGATGGGCAGGTCTGGAGAACTCTGACCAAGCAGTACTAACAAATGGAGGAGATAGATCAGCTTACATCATGGAAATAAAGATTTGTTTAACCAGTCTTTGCTGCTGGAAAGGAAGAAGATTCTCATTGACCCCAGTGTAATTTTCCACTGTCCCCACACTCAATATAATTCTAAAAAATGGCAGATGGCTTATCCCATGATGCTTTAGTCAACAGCAAAGGGATAACAATAGTCTAAATATATCCACTGATCACTTGAAAGAAATATGTTAAGTGGCGAAATGAGCTTAAAGGTGAAGGAGTTCAAGTTGCTCTCACTATGCACAATTTCCTGCTGATTGCTGTCATCTGTTCCCTTTGGGGAAGCTCAAAGACTGACAACGCTGGAATGAGAAATGTGTTTTCTCAATAAGGGTGCTGAAGCATTTCTGTGCACCAATAGTCAGAATTACGTGTTTAGCAGCAGGCAAATAACAGAATATGAATGAAACACAAACCACTCTATCTAATTAGATCAAATACATGAACACCTTTGCAAAATGCAAGATACAAAGGGGATGGGATCAGAGTTCCATTGTGTGCTTAAGGAAATCCTCATAATGTGAAAAAGTAAAAAGTATTCTATGTTGGTGAAGCATCTTGACTGAATTCCAAATTCTTTTATAAATGATATGCTTGGCCAGCTAGTGTGGTACAGTTAACCTCTGGGGTAAAATGTCACATTCCTAAACTGCAATATAACAGGTGACAATTCAGATTCTAAATTTTAAAATAGAGGATGTGTATTAGACTCTGAGCCACTGGAATAATGATGCCTTTTTACCAAAATGTATCATTTTAAGTCTTTTGTTCTTTTTATATAAAATTCAAATAGATATTTTATTATGTTGGTTATGTTATTTTTTATTGAGCATTGATAATATACTACAAACTGCACAGAATCAAACTTTTTCTCCCATACCCATCGTTCCCAACTTCTAAAAATTCCCTAACTTAACATACCACTGTCTTTTCCATTTTAAAAGCATACTCTTGATACTGATTTCTACAGGTGTATGTGGCTAAAAAGGGCAATTGATAGTCAAGAGAATAAAATGTTATGATCACATATTGTGTGGAGGCCGAGAAAAATCAAGGCCATCCCACCTAAAGTTTAGCATTAGCACAAGTACAGCCATCTTAGGCCCCTGTGAATAAGAGCTGAACTTATGGGAAAAACTGCAGAATGTCCTCAATGTCCTCGGCAGGTAATCCCATATCAGAAAGACAACAGAGCTCAGAATTGCCCTGGCAGAGAATCCCATATCAGAAACACAACAGAGCCCACACCCACGGTAGAAAGTCCCATATTAGAATGAGAACAGAGCTCAATGCCCTTGAAAGCCCCATATCAGAATGTAAACAGAACTTGAGAAATTCCTCCACCCCTTCTGAAAATCCCCTAGACCAGCCTATAAAAAAACCAGCTGTAACCCACTTCGGGGTCCAAGTCCCTGCTCTGCTGTGTTGGGTATACTTGGACCCAAGCTCGAGCTTGTAAATAAACCCTCGTGTGTTTGCATCGGTGTGGGCTCCTTGGTGGTTTCTCGGATTCTCAATCTTGGGCACAACACTGCACATATAAACTTTGGGCAATGTCAGTATCTTTTATTGGGTATATTAGCGTTTATGTTTTCCTTTTGTTTTGAAAGAAAGAGAGATGGTATTGTTCTCTTATCTGCAATTTTGTTAAATCTGAAATGGACAACCATAGGAGAGAGCAACCTCTTAAAAAATTTGGAAGATAGGCAAGAAGATTAAAGCTAATAAACAGGGCAGCCTGGGTGGGTCAGCGGTCCCAGGGTGTGATCCTGAAGATCCGGGATGGAGTCCCACTTTGGGCTCCCTGCATGGGGCCTGCTTCTCCCTCTGCCTGTGTCTCTGCCTCTCTGTGTCTCTCATGAATTAAAAGAAAAAAAAAAAAAAAGCTAAGGTTGTTTAGCCCTCTACCAAAGCATTAAAATTAAAAAAAAAAATAAAGCTAATAAACAGTCACAGTCATCTAATTTTTGAGAATAAGAAAAATTGTTGTTCCCTCAATACATCTGATAGAAAAGACTGTATGGAGGATGCCTGAGTGGCTCAGCAGTTGGCGGCTATCTTCGGCTCAGGGCATAGTCCAGAAGTTCTGGAATGAGCCCCACATCAGGCTTCCTGCATGGAGCCTGCTTCTTCCTCTGCCTTTGTCTCTGTCTCTCTCTCTCATGAATAAATAAAATCTTAAAAAAAAAAAAGAAAAAAGAAAAGACTGTATGGTATAGTTGAACTTGGGCAGTTAAGTTTTATAGAGAGCACTCAAAAGTGTCAAAACTAAAAAATTTTAAAGAGCACTCTGCTTTTCAGGGGGAATGGAATTCAGGGTGAAATTTTAAAAAAGCAAATTACAAAAAGAATCTTATTTTAGTAGCCATTTAACAATAAAATTGGTTCTTTGAAAAAAGAAAGGTGTTTTCTGATAAAAGTAATATCCATTTATGGAAGAAAAACTGGAGATCCAGAAAAGTAAACCGAAGAAAACAGAGGTATCAAAAATGGTTCCTTTTCAATGAGTCTTGAGATGTGGAAGTCACCTATTCTAAGTCTAATATGGCTATTTTAAAGAAAGTGAACCTTGATGGGGATTAGTAATGGACTTTAAGAGCTTTACTAACTAAAGTCTATTTGCAGAAGAGGAAGACTTCTAGTGAGGCACATTCTGATTTCATTTCCTATGAGTCCCAAGGGAGCAATACAAGCACGTATAATATGAAAGGTAATGTATGTATGCCACAAGCACAGAGCAAAATAAGAACTGCAATGCTCTTCCTGCTAAATTACTCTCCTAGTTCTGTTAATGTCTTTCCTCAGTTAAAAAAAAAAAAAAGAGAAAGAGAAAGAAAATGTATACACAGACATTTCAAAGTGATTGGTGACCCCCTACCACTTGACTAAGATGCCAAATTACTGCATAATGAATAGGTAGTAGCAGAAATCCAACTTTTAAGTCATTAAAGAGGTCTTTTCACTCCATCCCATGTGCTTTAAACTACATACAGTTGAACCTGCCCTTTGACCTGAAAATTTTAATAGCATCAAGATGTCACTAAAAGTACTCTACTGTGTCATTTGAGCTTTAAGAAATAGTAAGACCACCTCTCCCTTCTGAGAACATTTGGAAACAGGAGGCAAATATCCAAGGCAAATGGAGCTCAAAATCTTTCTGATAATGCCTGAATTTTTGAGAACACTACCACATTAGCCTGCAATTGCTAGTAAATAAGAAATACAATCATTGTTGGAATGATGGTGGTTAACAATTTAAGAGTGAGTCCTAAATATGTGAGTGTTTTTAATAGAAATGTCACACAGAAAAGGGGTATGCATGAAGGGATGCCACCAAGGTTTACTTTTCCCCATCCTC